TATAATGATCAGATAAAGTAATTTCAAGGTCATGAATATGGAGGTGGAACATTTGTAAGGATGATGATAAGATCAAAGGTACCATCATTTCTATGTGTAGCTGAGATTGGATGGAGGACATCATGGGAAATGAATAAATTGAACAACTGGGAAGTTAGGGGTATTCAAAGGCATATCAATATACTGAAGCTCCTTAGTATAAAGGCAAGAGTTGGGGAGGAGATATTATAAGCCAGTCACTGGACTTAATGAGGAAGGAAGGAATGAGGTATACTTGTTATCTTTTTACACTGCTTTACTGATGTAATCATATTGCCATTCCTACATAGAATCATAGAATATTGGAACTGGAAGGGACCCTGGAAAGTGTCTAGACCAACCCCTTTCTCAAACCACCCAGCCAGAAATGATCTCTGCTTCCCCCAAGCTCCCATAATACTTACTATGCTGAGAGGTAGTTATTGCCAGTATTATTAGCTATGTGGCTTTGGGGGCAATTTATTTCCTCTCTCCAAAGCTTAGCTTCCTCATCTTGACAAATGGGGATAATAATTGGAGGGGCTTGTACTTTAGCACAGGTCTTCTGATGGCAAGTTTGGTGAGCTTTTTACCCTATGGGACTTGCCTCTTTTTTTATTCCCTCCCACTTTTCAGGTCTGAATTTTTCCCCTTAAATCATTTCCTTTTCCCAGGTATCTAGTACATTCATGCTGCCCTGGGGACTGCTTAAACCACCCCTCCACTGCCGGGCCCTATTTTGGCCTGCTTTCTCTTGTCAGCGGTAGACAAGGTACCCAGTACTGGAATATGGTGGAGAAGTCAGTCAGAGAAATCCCAAAATAGTGCAGCCAGGTGAGAAATGAGGTGACAGTCTTGCAAAAGAAATAGAAAAAAGCAAGCTGAAGTTTTCTTGCCAATAACCCTCTCCTCTTTCAACAGTATCCAGGCCTCTTGTCCAGTAGATGTAAGCTCCTTGAGGGGTGGAACCATTTTCATTTTTGTCTTTGTATACTCAAAGTCTAACCTAGTGCCTGGCACATAGCAGTTACATAATCGATGCTCAATTAATTGAATCAAGCTGTTCCCAGTGGAAATCTTCAGCAGCTATTTGCTGGAGGGCAATCTGTTCTGTCTGATAGATCTGGATGACATTATGATTATCATCATTATTTCAACATTTAAAGGATCTATGGTTTTGTCAATGTGGGTACTCCCTGTAACAATGCAGATGTTATGCTTTTGAATCTTCGTGAATAGTCTTTAGAAATGTTGTGGCCAAAAATTTTATCACTCTGTGGCTATAGTATCAACAAACTTCTGAGCTCTGGCCTGAATTAGATTGAAAAGCTAGCTTCTCTTCAAAGCCGTTCTTTTGTTTTTTCCAAATGCATGTAAGATCTTAGAGAGAGAGCAAGAAGGTATCCCAGAAAAAAAAAAAAAACCAACCTGACTTTGGAAGACTAAAGAATTCTGTTGATAGCAAATAACTTCAGAGAGCCTATGATGAAGCACGTTACCCACCTCCAGACAGAGAAGTGAAGGACCCAAAGTATTTTTGTTTGTGCGTTAAGTTCACAATTTTAAAAGATATAAGGGGAAAACCAAACCTTCTTAGGATCATAGATCGAGAGCTGAAAGGAATCCCAGAGACCAGCTAGTTTGCAGAACTGAGGCCAGTTAGTTTGCAGAAGAGAGAAAGGAGGCCCGGAGATGAGTGACTTGACCAATGTGATGCATGTAATAAATATCACCTGTAGAATTTGAACTACGGACCTCAGACTCCAGAGTCGCTGCTCTTCCTATTAGACCAAGTTGTTTTATTCACGTTCTTTTTTCTTTTTCGAAACATTCCATTACTTCCTAATGATTCCCTTCCTCCTCCTACCCCATCCCAATAAGGTCTTTCTTTATAAAGTCAAGTGAAAGAAATCATCCTATGCGCCATGGGTGAAAATGTTATACCTTATTCCATAGCAATAATCTACCACCTCTCTGCTGAGAAGTGTGAGGCACGCATCATTAGTCAAGATCGGTCATGGCATTCATTTTGTTTGGAATACTTTTGGTGTAGTCAAAGCCTTTATACCTTGGTAGGATCTGCTTGTTCTTTCCTGGCAGGATTTGAACCCAGATTTTCTTCACTCTAAGGTCAACATTCCATCTACCCTACTACACAGCCTACTGCACTGGTGATGCTCTGGTGGGTTTTTCAAGCCTAGTATGTAAAGGTGACTCTGGATTTAGAAAGACCAAGCCAATACAGGTCCTACCAACCTGAAAAAGTTGCGGCTATGGACTGGGTAGTGGATTTTGGTCTGTTATTCAAAGACAGCACTAGCTAATTTCAAAGACATGTTATAGCCATCTGAAAGATGACACCAGGCAATGACTTTCTGAAGGAGTGGAGGAGTTCTGTTCTGTGTTAGTGAAGAAAGTGCCTATAACAATAAAATTGTGGCTCTTTAGCATTACTGGAGAAATGTAATACGGTACAGTGGAAGAGGCATTGTCTGTGGAGTCAGGAAGACCTGAATTAAAATCTGGCCTCAGACACTAGCTGTGTGACCCTGGGCAAGTCACCTAACCTCCTTCTGTTTCAGTTTCCCATCTGTAAAAATGGGGATCATAATAGCATTTATCTAACAAGGCTATTGCGAGGATCAAATGAGTTAACATATATAAAGTTCTTTGCAAACCATAAAAGGCTATATAAATGTTATCATTAATTTTTATTACTACATTTGGACAGCATTCTGCATTCTCTCTTCAGTTCCCTCATTCCCTTTTTCTGACAGTGGTAGTTTAAGAGATAATAATAATAATAATAACAACAACAACAACAATAACAACTCAGATTTATATAGTATTTTGTATGGGAATGCTTTCTTTATAGCAACTCTGCCAAGTAGGGAAATATGAATATTCCAATTTTTTCAAATGAAGAAATCAAAGCTGAGGAAGCTAAGTAACTAGCCAAAAGTCAAATTTAGAATTAGAAAGGACCTGAAGGCCATTTAGTCCAAGCTCCTCATTTTTTTTTTTTTTTTACAGATGAGGACATTGAGGCCAAGAGATGCTACGTGACCTTCTCAAGGTTATGCAGGTAGAGCACGGCAGAGCCTAGACACCCACTGTTCTTCAGAGTCCCATAGTTACTAAGTACTGGAAACGTAAATTCCAGCCCAGGAATCCTCTAACTCTGAGTCAGAGATGTACTGGAGCCAGCTGGAACCAGCTCACAAGAACTGATTGTTTAACTTTCATTATGAACATTTACACTTTTGAAATGGGCAAAGGCTATAAATCAGGGTTTGAGTTATTGTGGGTTTTTTAATTGTCTAAACTTAAGGAAGTGATAGAAAAAAATGTTAATAATTCAGATTCAGATTAAACTTAAAAGTATACTGTATGCACATTCCCCTTCCCCCCAACCCCAAAAGGTGATTATTAAACATTTATCCGAACACTCCTGCTATTGCCTCCCAAACACCGGCACCTTCAGAGCAGGGCCTTGAGCACAGAACTCTGGCTGGGATGGACTCTTTATGAAAGGTAAAGAGGTATCTCCTATAGTTTTGGGTGCTTTTCTATCCATTTTTGCTTTTAAATTCCTGTCAGGCCCTGGGTTCTAAGGTTCACATTGAGAGGGTGCAGAAACTTCTTCAGACTTTCCCTAGCCAGACTCAATGATAGCAGAGGCTCTCTCAGGATTTTAAATATGGGCCCCCTAGCCTGCAAAAGGCCGTGCTGGCTAATAGAAATTAAACGGGCTCTTTCCCTGTTTAGAGACCACCCTATAGTCATCACTATCTAAATGCCAGGGGTACAAATACAAAAAAAAGAAAAAAAGGAAACAGTCCCTGTAAGCCCTCAAGGAGCTTACAATCTAATGGGGGAAGACAAAACACAAAAGGAGGCTGAGAAGGAGGGAGGAATACCTGACTCATGCTGGACAAGTCAGTTGGAGAAGTCTTAATATAGTGGAACCAGGGGAGAAACGAAATGAGATGTTTGAGCTGAGATCTCTCCTTAAATGGAGATCTAGAGTTCATAACCCCACCCTCCGGGCAGAGAGACTGAGGGTAGTGATGACGTGAAGTCCCAAGGCTGATGAGATCTTGCAGGTTGTCGAGGTATTCCCAATAATCAGCTTTCTGGGACATGGTGAAGTCATTCACAGAAATCCCAGGAGAGTGCAGCCAGGTGTGAAATGAGATATCTGAGCTGAGGTCTCCTCTGGCATTGGGGTATGATAAAGTCCTACCTCTTACCCCCAACTTAGGGTTAATATGAGCAGACCTCAATTTAGGTAAGAGACATGTAGACATGTAATTTTTGTGTACTATAGGGATCCAGGGATACCCCTGCTTTGTTGGACTGAAAGCCAATCAGGGACTTCCCCTGTCATCCTGAAGTATTCTTCAGTCAGAGGCACATTCCAGCCATCTCCTTGATCTTCCATCTAACCACTTCTACCCCAACCAGTGGAACTCCTGAGCCCAATCCTTGAGAACAATCTGCTCAGCTTTGTAACCACCACCCTGGAGTCATGCTGTCTGGATTCTGGAGTCAACCAGCTGCCAACGCACATTGTCAATTCTATCTACCTGTCCCCAGACCCCAGACAGCCCTTCATATCTCATCCAACCATACATCCCAGCCACCTGCCCATTATGACTCCTGTCCTACTCTACCCTTTCCATCTTTCCTGCTTTCTACCTATTGTTCTGGGAAGAACAATCAAATGAACACTACCATAACTCCTTGAGAGGGCATGTCAATTGATTCCTGTATGACTCCATTCATCGTCCCTGTGAATTCTCAGACCTTCCTTGGCCATCACTCCTTTAAATGTGTTGGTTCCCCCTACTAAAATGTAAGTTCCCTAAGGTCAGGAACTATTTTGCATTTTTGTTTATATCCCCAGCACTTAGCACCATTCTTGGCACATAGAAAGTGCTTAATAAATGTTTTTCATTCATTCAAGGCTCTATATCAGGTTAATCTAAGAGTAGGGAGGCTTTTTTGCCTTTATTTTAAAAATATTAGTCTTCGATTTTAAATGGCTTGCAAAGTGATTTCAGGAGACCTAGCCCCAGAATGCTGATGCTGTTCCGTGAGGATTCCAGTGGTCACCAGACATTGAAATTAATGATCTGGATGTTGGCAAGGGCTGGCTGAGGTAGAGAGAACCCTGGGGGAGTGCCTTGGGGGGAGGAGTTTGATATAAGGTAGTTCCCGTGGGAGCTGATGCTTAAAAACCTCTGGACACAAGGTTTATAGGGCGCTCTTCCCTTCTGGAGCATCTCCTGGGCCTCCACACCATCACCAACACCACACCAGCCACGAAGCTGGCAACAGCAGCCAGCAGCACGGCCCAGTAGGGGACCTTGGAGGACTCGTCGGCTTCCTGTCGAAACAGCCCACTATTCCTCAAGGTATGGAAGTAGGGGTTATCCTGTAAAATGAGCATATAGTAGGGTTCAGAGGATTAGGAGTTCACAAGAATAGCTATCGATCAATCGATTAACATTTGTTTAATCAAAAAGCATTTATTGAGAGCTCTGTGCCAACCACTGGGCTAAAACACTGAGCCTAGAGAAGCAAAATGGAAAGTCCTTCCCTTAAATAAGCTTATAATCTACCCTGGGGAGAGAACATCTACATATCAAGAAAGGGACAGGCAAGCCAGTTTGATTGGAACCCAAGATGTCCTGAGGGAGAGATACGGAATGGCTTAGGGCAGGCAGCCCAAATCCATACCATCCCCTTGACCAACACCTTCTCTATTAGACTCAGGTGGAGATAGCCTAGGACTCTGACCACCCCCCACCCAAGTCCCATGAGCAGCAGCATCCTATACACCTGACCACTGACCCTAATTCCAGCCTGACCATCATCTAAGGGAACAACCCTTTTGGAGATCTGACCTGGCAAGAGGTTGAATCTCCAGCCTCTGTAGATGCTATAGCCCCTGTCTCCTCAGCAGTCATGGCTATTGAACACCCAGAAAAGGTCCTAACACCATCAAGTGATTTAATACCAGAAACCATTATGGTGTTATCAACCAGACTGACATCAGCCTTGCAGCCAAAATCTCATACTTGTGTTCTCTCCCTGCTCTTTGAGCTCAGTGATTTTGTCTTCTTTTTCTATTTGTATCTCCAGCATTTTGCACAATGCTTTGTACATAGTGCATGCTTAATAAGTGCTTTTTTTCATTCATTCATTCATTCATGCCCAAAGATCAAAGTAGACTAGGGAAGATGTTTGATACAGCCCAGCTGAAATAGTAAGTGCTTAGTAAATATTGAATTGAAGTAAGTTATAAAACTGGAGATAAAGACCCTGAAGATAGGAGGAGATTGGGAGTGGAGGTGGCCTTCTTATCCCACAAATATAATTCTCCTTTTGACCCTCTTCTTGGTAACTCTGCTCCCTGAATATCTAAGGAGTAAAAACACTGATCTCCAGCTACGTGCCTGCTCTGGGGACACTCACTTGGTTGGCCGGATAAGAGTGATGATCACAGAATCAGAAGATTTAGAACTGGAAGGGATTGAGAGGCCATCTAGGCTAACCTCATTTTACAGAAGAGGAAACTGAGGCCCAGTGAAGTCAAGTGACTTGCCCAAGGTCAAATCAGGTGAGGAGGGGAAAGATTAGGGAAGGGAGGATGGAAGAGGAGGACAATTAAGTAAGGTGGACGACAGAATCCCAGCTGTGTATCTCTGGACCACCTGTTGGATGCTGCTTTACTGGTCACCGTTAGCTGCTCCTGGAAGCAGTTAGTGGTTCATGAGGGTCCACCAGCATTTCTTCTTCATGACGCTTCTTTCCAAATGCTTCAGTTAAACTACAGGAAGCTTAGCCTTTTCACCCTGTGGCCCCAGGAAGTTTCAGTAGCTATTTGTAACCTATGATGTGTTTTTTTTTTCCCCTTGGGGGAGTGGTGGTGATAAATTAGTTTACTTCTAATCTCCTCAGGGGAGAAAAGAGAGACAAGTAGGCCCTCATTCCCACATGCCCTATCTCATCCACACCTTCTGGAAGGAACCATAGAGAATATTTAATCCAATCTCATTTTACAGATAAGGAAACTGAGTCCCTCCAGTCCTCTTTGCTGCAGATACTTAAGGCCTTAAGTAAGAAAAAACAGAGCTGGTCAGCCAAGGTTTGGAGTAAGGAGAGCTTCCAGGGATGGACGTGGTAATGGTGGTAGGTGTGTGTAGGTGTGTGTGTGTGGGGGGGTGAGTGTGTGTGGGTGTGGATGGGGGGGTGGTGTGTGATGGCTCAGGGACAGCAGCATGGTATAGTGGATAGAATGCTGGGTTTGAGTCAGGAGGACCTGAGTTCAAATTCTGCCTCACACAGTCACTAAATGTGTGACCCTGAGCAAGTCACTTCCTCTCTGTCTGCCTTAGCTTCCTCAGCAATAATTTGAGAAGATGAGACTAGATGATGTCTAAGGTCCCTCCCAGGGTTAATCTATGATCCTATAATAAATCCTAGTCTGGCTAGGTTCTTCATATTCAACCTTCCCTCAGTGAAATCCCAGGACTGCAGGAAGTAGCACTAGGAGTTTGGGGGAAGAGCATTCTTTATTTCCTTGCTCTCTTTCCCTCCCGCCTCACCCATGAGATCATCAGTAACAAACCTCTTTGCCTTGGAATCTCTAAGTACTTTCCATTCAGACTCTCCTTTTAAAGTGCATTAAAAGTATTGCCTCTTCTTGACTCCCTCCTCTGAAAGTGTGGGGAAACAGAGGCTCTAATGGGGAAGGTGGAACATGCTGACAGCGAAGGTGACCAGAGGTGGGTGATTCCAAGGGAGCTCAGCCAAAGGTCCATGCGCCTCTGCTACCAGCGGCTATTCCATTCCCTCAACTCTAGAATTCAACATAGCTACTGAAACTTCTCAAGGTTTGAGAGTGGAAGCTCTAGGTGACGACTTTGCTCATGCTCAACCCATCAATCAATCAACAAACATCTATTAAGCCTTACTATGTGTCAGGCCTTGACATGAGGCCTGACATGTAGGTGCTAGGGATATAGAGGATAGCCTGTAGCAGAGAGTGTTAACCTTTTTTTTTTTTTTTTTTGAGATGGGGACCTCTTTGGCAGTCTAGGAAAACCTAGAAACCTCTTCTCAGAATAATGTTTTAAAATGAACAAAATAAAGTACATGGGGTTACAAAGGCAATTAATTATGATTTAATACAGTTAATAAAAAATTTTTTTTTAAAATTTCTGGACCGAGGTTAAGAGGGTCTGCATTATAGTTTATCAAGAGTCTAACCAAAGAGCCTTTGGTCACTTGGAACTGAAAGCCCTTCCCTTCTGTACAGATAGTAAAGAAAGATGATGTTACACAGGGAGGTGGAATGTGGGGGATGAGAGCTGGATGGACTTTTACTTACAGAGGTTGGACACTTGACTTTTGTCCGGCTGTAGGTAAAGTTATTGTAGGTCTGCTTCTGGCCCACTGGTTCCAACTGAAACAGAGCACAAAGAAAGTGGATCCTACTGACTCCACTTACCCACAGAGCTGCCCGACTCAGAGGCCCGCCACACATTCTTTTTTTCAGCCTCTGATAGAGTGGGAAGAAGTTGATGGACTGGCAGAAACATTAGAGGAACTCAATACAACCTAACACTCAAACTCTTACATTTTGAGAGAATTCCTGGAAACCAGTCCATCAACTCCACATCATCCTTACATGAAAATAGTAAGTGTGAGGAGTCACTTTCAGTGTGGTGGTGGAGGAATAAAAGTCACTTCCCTGCTTTGTTTTGACCCTCTCAGAGAGAAGCAGATTTTTCTCCTGTGGGTCAGACGGTGGTAGACTGGTCTTGGAATCAGAAGACATGGGTTCAAAACCTGGTTCTACCACTAAGTAACTAGGGAAATCATGTATTCTCTCTGGACTTCAATGTCCTCATCTTCAAAATGGAGAAATCACACTGGCATTAATTACTTCACAGCATTGTTGCAAGAAAAATGTTATATAAAGTGAGTTATAAAAATATCCACAGCAATGTTTTAATTGTGTGTGTGTGTGTGTGTGTGTGTGTGTATGTGTGTGGGGGGGGGGTAGCAATGAACTGGGAATAAAATAGCTGCCTATCCATTTGACATGTGAATGTAATGGTATATTGCTGAGTTCTAAAAAATGATAAATATGAAGACTTCAGAGAAGCTTGGAGAAGTCTTCTATAAACTGATGCAGAGTGACTAAAGCAATGTAAAAAAACAAAAAAAGAACAACCCAATGATGAAAATGATGAAACTGAATGCTGTGTAATTATAATGACCAATCCTGTCTTCAGAGAAGAAATGAGGAAATGCAATTCCCTCCTGCCTTTGCAGATGTGGGGACTGTGGCTTTGGAACAGTTCACATACTGTCAGACTTGGTTGATGTGTGGGTGAGTTTTACTAAACTGTTTTTCTTTTCTCTTCCTTTTTCATTACAAGAGATAGTTTGATGGTGTGGGTGAGAAGAAAGCTATAATTGGAAATGATGGTAATGTAAAAGATAACAGTGAAATTTAAATCTTAAAAGTGAGTTATTATTATTATAGAGACATAACCTCAAGGCAGTGGGGGAGGGGGTGGAGAATGGGGGAAAGCACTCAGAGGGGACAGAGGGACCATGAAGAACAGACTAGCTAGGGCTATATAGCTTAAGAAATGATTATTGCTGATGTTGATGATTGCGGTGAGAGAACTATGCTGATGGAGCTTTGATGTACTTCAGTTTCTCGGTGTTTAAAGTGGGGGAAACAGCTCCTTATCACCTTGAAGTGTTCAGTATTAGACAACTACTTCTAGTGAGGGGCTAAGGGACTTAATGATCACACTTTATATATATATATATATATATATGTGTGTGTGTGTGTATATATATATATGTATATATATGTGTGTATATATATATATATATATGTGTGTGTATGGTCCTTAAAAAACAACAACAACAAACAAAAACTTCCTCAAAACACTTTTCCCATCTGTTTCCATTTACCTTTCCTCAAATCCAGTTGAAGTAGGCATCTCAGGCAAACCTCATATGATTTTTCTCTACATAGAGTCTTAGAGTTGGAAGGAACTTCAGAGGTCATGTAGTTCACCCCCTACCTTAACCCTGAGACTTTTTCACAAGATCCCCAACAATTAGTCATGTAGGCGCCACTTGAGCACCTCCAGTGAAGGGGACCTCACTACCTCCTGAGTGAGCTGCTGCTTTTTCTGGATGGTTCTAACTATTGAGGAATTTTTCCTTACTTTTAACCAAAAACAAGTCTGACTCCAGTTCTAAATCACAGCCTTTAAGATACTTGAAGAGGCTTTTGTGTGTCCCTCCCCCCCAACTCTTCTCTTCTCCAGGCCAATCATTCCCAGTTCCTTCAGCCAATCTTTGGATGGAATGGTCTCCTGCTCTTCCACCATCCTGGTTGCCTTCCTCTGGACTCACTGTAGGTTGTCAGTGTCCTTAAAGTGTGATTAGGACTGACCCCAGCTATGGTTTGATCAGGGCAGGATTCAGCAAGACCATCCCCCCCTTCTTTTCTGGACATTCTATTTCTCTTAGGACAAACAACAATGACAACAACAATTTCTCTTAATGCAGCCTTAAGACCTTATTAGTGTTTTTGGCAGCCACACAACATACTTTATAATTCCCTAAAACCTCAGATCTTTTTCTTTACTTTTTTTTACACGAACTGTTTGTTATTGTTATTCAGTCATTTTTCAGTCATGTCTGACTCTTTGTGACCCCATTTGGGTTTTTCTTGGTAGAGATACTGGAGTGGTTTGCCATTTCCTTCTTCAGCTCATTTTACAGATGAGGAACTAAGGCAAACAGGGTTAAGTGACTTACCTAAGGTCACACAGTTAGTAAGTGTCTGGGCCAGATTTGAACTCATGAAGATGAGTCTTCCTGACTTCATGACCCAACATTCTATCTACTGTGCCACCTATCATACCCCCTCTAGCTATATTTCTTCCATCTTGTATTTAATACAATTGTTTTTTTTTTAACCCAAGTGTAGGATTCTACATTGAACTATATTTAAATTACATCTTATCATAAGTGTAAGTATGTAAGTAAGTTTCCTAAAGCTATCCTTCCACCAGGATATAATCATAGAAAGAAAGGTGCAGAAAACAAAACCACTGAAGTATTAATGTTTTATATAGAGTGCAAAGATACTTTGTCACCATGTTATTATTCTCTGAATTATAAAGAAGTCTCCCTAATGGAACTGGAAGGGAAGCTTTGGCTGACTGGCCAAAGACTGGCCATTTTCCATAGTGACCTTTAAAAAACCTGAGCTTGCCAACCCTAGAGTTAGTTGAGCTTTGTGGAGTGTGACCTTTGCCAGAGAGAAGCAGTGAAGGAAAGGGGAATTTTCTCACCTTCCCTGCTTCAATGACCATGGAGTCTTTAAGTGGAGGTACTCTCTCAAAATAAGACATTGTATCCAGGAGTGGTGTGTGTGTGTGTGTGTGTGTGTGTGTGTGTGTGTGTGTGAGAGAGACAGAGACAGAGACAGAGACAGAGAGAGAAAGAAGAAGATGATGATGATGATGATGGAGGAGAGAGGGAGGGAGGAAGGGAAGGGGTGAGAGAGAGAGAGAGAAAAGAAGAAGAAGAAGAAGGAGGAGGAGGAAGGGAGGGAGGGAGGGAGGGAGGGAGGGAGGGAGGGGGTGAAAGAGAGAAGAGAAAGAGAGAGAGAGAGAGAGAGAGAGAGAGAGAGAGAGAGAGAGAGAGAGAGAGAGAGAGAATTGAGCTTGTTGGCAGGGCAAAGCAGAAAGCAGATTCTCTAGTGGTGGTAGAGGAGAGAGCCAACTTTGGATCCAAGGGAGAATTAGCCCTGGTAGCTGAGCCATAGAGAGAAATAGGCCCAGGAATTAATGAATGATTCATGCAGCGGAGATACTGTGCCCAGTGGGAACAGCATAAGGATACCAGCAGAGTGCTGGTAAATGTTTAAGAATCACCATGTTATTAGTTTCTGAATCTATGTGTGTGTGTGTGTGTGTGTATACACACACACACACACATATATGTACACACACACACAATAGACCAATACACACACACACATATGCATGACATACTTTAAAGTTTAATCTGCATCATTAATCTTTCCTCCATCACTTTCCTAAGTCTAGATGACCAACAAAACAATAAATCAAGCCCTAATCTGTAGAGTTTGATAATTTACAAGGTGAAATGCTTATCCTGAAAATTGAACCATCAGCTGGTTTAAGGTAGCTCCAGTACATCCCTGGCATAGAGTATGTACTCTAAGTTTCTGTTCACTCTTCCCACTGATGCCATGTGTATTTGTGGGAGAGTGTAACCCAGGTTTATGGAAGGGGGATATTTTATACCTTCTCATCTTACTATCCCACCTTAGTAAATGTTTCTGCTTCCAGCTAATTGTGTCTACTGGATGACTATTAAATGTAAGGTGGGGGGGGTGGGGTTGTGAGCTATGGTTTTAGGGGTATGCATAACCTTCCAAGGTAGGTGCTATTAGTATCCCCATTATATAGATGAAGAGACTATGGCAGACTGAGACTAAGTGACTTTCCCATGGTCATATAGCTAGTAAGTATCTGAGGTCATACTAGAACTTAGGTCTCACTGACTTTAAAGCCAGTGCTCTATCCACTGTGCCACAGACCACTAACAAGGCAGAAGTTATACTGGATTCTAAAGAGAAGAGGATAGAGTTGATACATCATTGCCACACTGTGGTACACCAGGAGCATAAACCAATAATTGAAATGATGCTATAGACTGGCATGATAATTATTAGACATGAATTAAAGGGGTAAATTTGGGTTATTCTAGAATGAAGGAATTTGATGTTACTTTAGCTTTGTAAAAAGAAAGAAATGTGGCATATTGGCAACATCATCAATCTAAGTGTCCAGAGGCCTGAGAATCTAGAAGACCTTGGTTTTTTACAGAGGGAGTGTGGAGAAAATGCTGGACATGGAGTGAGAAGAAACCTGAGTTTGACTCAGATACTTAATAGCTGTGTGACCATAGGCAAGTTAAACCTCTTCACCTCAGTTTCTCATCTGTAAAATAAGGATAATAATGCCTGTGATACCTACATCATAGGGTCTCATTATTACTATAGTCCCATCTTTTCCTTCAAATAGTTTCCTGACCTTGAGTAAACAACCTCATTTCTCTGGGTCTTAGTTTCTTTATCTGTAAAATGAGGTGTTTGGGCTAGATAGAGATCAAGTTTCTTTCTGGCTTTATGAAACTCTTATAAAGGATATGGCTTCTACCTAAACTAATCTACTTACTTAGTGCCATCCCAATTAAGCTAGCAAAAATTATTTTATCAAGGTAGAAAAAATAATAACAAAATTCATTTGGAAGAAGAAAAGGTCAAGAACATCAAAGGAATTAATTTTTAAAAATGTAAAGGAAGCTTTAGCAGTTTCAGATCTTAAACTG